AACCCTCCCTGCAGTCACACACCAAACACAGCAGCTCCCGAAGCACATTTCCACGAGGGAAGAAACGCACAGGGAAAAGCTGTGCCCACAACATCTTTACACGTCCCTACAGGTGATGGTCAGAAGCCGCTGCTTTTCAGTGGCTTTTCTGGTGAAAGCAACGATTTGACTCTGCAAACAGTTTTCTGTAAACACTACTGGGGAGCAAATCTGTAGCCTTCCCCACAATTTTTAAAATGATGGAATAACAAACAGCTCTTGTTTGTTAAAAACGCAAGAGATGTGCCGTGTGCCTCAGGTGCCCAGGGCTCTGCACTGGCTCTGGGCTGCAGCCCAGTGGCCCCACCACTACTCACCATCGTCAGGAGCATCCTTGTCCCACACCGACCACATCTGCATGCTAAAAAACGGTGCCCAGCAGGCAACATAAGCCACCACGATGACAAAGGTCATCTTCACTGTGCGGATTTTGGCACGGGAGATGGTCCGCACGCTGCTCACCCGTGAGGGTTGCCCGCTGGGGCATTGCCCACCCTTCTCAGAGGAGCAGGGAGCAGGGGGGGAAGCTGCTGTGGGCCCCCCCGAGCCAGCGGCACCACTCTGGGTCTTGCCTTTGAGGTTCTTGCAGATCTCGTAGCAGATGAGGCTGTAGCAGATGGTGAGGATGCCGACGGGCAGGATGAAGATGCACAGTGTGGTCCAGGTGATGTAGGCTCGGGCTCCCCATGGGTACCTGAAGTCCGCCCAGCAGTCCAGCACCCCCGAGCCCTGGCGCACCTCCCGTAGGGAGAAGATGAAGACCTGGGGCAGGCTGAGCAGGCAGCGGAGCAAAACATGGTGTAGGCCTGGCGGCTGGGCTGCTGCAGGGTGTGCAGAGGGTGGCACACGGCCATGTAGCGGTCCAGCGTCATCACGATGAGCATGTAGGTGGAGGCAAACATGCTCAGCACCTGCAGGTACTTGACTGCCCTGCAGAGCGGGTCCGGCCCCACGAAGCGGTATGTCACCTCCCAGATCATCTGTGGCAGCACCTGGAAGAGTGCAACGCCCAGGTCGGTCAACCCCAAGTGTAAAATGAAGAGATGCATCCGGCTCATCTTCTTCCTCAGGCGATACATTGCCAGCAGCACCCCCATGTTGCCAACAGTTGCTATAGCCAGGATGGTGGCCAGCACCCCGATCTCTGCCTTGGCCAACTCCTCATCACGGGTGTGCAAGAGGGTCAGGTTGGGATCCCCTGCCAGGGTCTGGGGGCTCAGCAGCCCCTGGCTGTGCCCAGGCCTGCTGTAATGGGTGCTGTTCCAGCCCCAGCCTGGCTCCATCCCTTTGGGAAGCTCTGCAGGAGCGCAGGCAGCTGTAACACTTGTCTCTGATGGTCTGTTAAACCCTTCCCTGCCTCCCAGGGCTGAGCTCTTGGGATCAGTGCTGCCCCTGAGCACCGCTGCAGCAGCTCCTCTACCCCCGGCCGAGGGGGCTGAACATGCGTCCTCCTGCAGCCCCCACCGCTGCTGCAGGTTGTCACCTCCCCTCCCTTGTGCAGCTCAACATCACGCTGTGCTGTGGGGCTGCAATTCCCCTCTCCGGCCGGGCTGCTCTGTGCAAATATGTCCAATAAGCGAAGAGATGCAAATTCTGGTTCAGTCCTTGATCTTTCTCTCGTCTGCACTAAACATTCCCAAATCCCTGTTTCTCCCAGGACTGCTGATCCTGCACATCCCCTCTCCCCTCTGTGCTGGTAAATTGAAGGGGGAAGGGAACTCCTCTTTCTTGCTTCTTTCTAGTGCAGCAGAAGTGACAGAAAACGCTACAGAGGCTGCAGCTCTTTGGCTTTTTTGTTCCAAGAATGGTGGAAGTCAGGTGAGCGGTGTCCGAGCGTGGTGTCTCTGCGGGAAGCGGGGTGGCCGGTGGTGGCTCTCAGTCGCCGTGTGCATGTGATCGCCGTCCACCCACGTCTGGGTTTTATAGCCTGGCAGCATCCCATCCCTCCCCTCCCCGCCCCAGCCTACGGCTCTGCCGCTGTGCCGAGCTGCTAAAAACCTCGGGAGGTTGAGCCGGTCCCCCCCCTGCCGCTGTCTCCGCAGTTGCAGTCCCTGGGATTTTCCAGTGGATTTTAACAAATGTCATTTCTGGGCAAGAGCCAAAGGCTGAGGATGCTCCTGTCCTTGTCCCCTGTGTCCCCCTTCCACAGGTCTGCCACCGATTTGCACTGTCCCTGCTAATCAGACCCTCCTGAATCTCTGCCCTTGGCTTCTCCTGGCCCAGCAGGAGAAACCTCTGTCCCGAGAGCCTGGGGACGGGGGGATGAGGGGGTGCAGGCCCCCTGGAGCAGCAGGAGTCAGACATCTGTTGGCTTTGTGCAGCTGGGTCTCAGCCCCGCAGCAAAGTCAGTGGAAACACCATTTACTGGCACCGTGTCCTGAAGCTGCTGGTTTTGGTCCGCTGTGCCTTTCGCTCTGTGTAGGACGGGGATGGAGGTTGTTCCTGAGACACGGCAAGAGCCCGGATCTGCCTGCTTAGTCCTCAGCTAAACGCTGTCATTTTACTCCATCTGACAGAAACCCACCCCAAAAGTGGGGAGCGA